AAAAATGAATGAAAAAAACGATGATTTACATTGAACGAACACGGTCATGAGAATTACACAAAGATAGACAATGTGTAGCTGGTTAGTCGATCTTTTACATTTTTAATCTTTAGAAGGCGGAAAAATCTATATTTGAAGTCTTATAATAAAATTGTTCCTTGAGTAAGATTTATTATAGTTTATTGTATTTCCTTGCTTCAAAATGTAAAATATATATTAAGAAAAAAATGGTTAACTTGGCTATAAATGCGTTTAGTTCGTAATGATTATTTAGTTCAAATATTTATAGACTTAGGTTAAGAAAATCTTGTAATTTAAATGTTAAATATTTGTTCAAATTATAACAAATAATTGGTTGATAGCTCGTAACTGTTACATTTAGTTGAATCAACTATAATATTTTTTTGAAACAGCAACTTGGTTTTCTCTGTGTAATGACACTTTTTATTGTAGTAAATAGTGTAGTGATTTCCTGTTGTGCAAACGTTAATTTATTCTATGAAGAATACGAATAAATTTATCGTAATTCCTCGATTAAAATCGTATTTCTCACAGGTAAGCAAGTACGTGATATTGATATACAACTAAATAATTTTAATATCATGTTTTTACGGAAAAAATAGGAAGCTTTCTGTAATGGCTCTTTGTACAATCATTAACAATGTTACCACAAATACAGCATTGCCTCGATAACAATTTTATTCGTATTTATCTTTCCGTTGATACGCAAGGAATAACCAATTGTCGTAAAATGGATAGCGTATTCGCATCGTGCAAACACTTAAGGACAAAAACGAACAATAATCATTGATATAATCATTTAAATAATTTTAATGAATTGATCCCGTAACGCCCATTTATTATCAAATTAAGAAATTTAACTAATAAAAATATATTAGATACACAAATAAATACGTACGCACTATTTTTAAAATTATACATTATATGCACACACATATATATATCTATATATATTGAAATTTCCTAAATTAATTAAGAGTCTAAAAAAATGATTTTGTAATGTTCTATATCTAATTATATATAACGTTATCCATTAGCAGAAATAGTGCGAACTCAGTGCACTTTAAAACCGTTGTACACAAATTAACGTATAAAGATATACATATTTAATAAAAATAAATCGCAAAATCCTCAAAAAAATATTATACATTTTATTGTGTTATTTGATATATATTGGTCATTTTATCAATTGAAATATTTTACATCCAGATTAGAGTAGTGTATAAAACGTGCGGCTTTAATAAGCACCAGTTCTGCCAATAGAAAAACGCTAATAGTTAAATATAATATCATTCTTATTCATATAGAGGCATCGAATCTTGAATTCATTAACCACTGAATGCATAAGTAGGTATAAAAAACGATAACATTTCGAAATATATACGTACAAGTCATTAGTCAGTAGGTCAAGCTAACGACCCGTATAGAGACGTTATAGCTATATTCTGCTGCAGACATGATTACCATCTGCACTTGATTTGCCGAACAAAGTCCCACGAGACTGTCGTAAAGCCGCGTCGAAAGTAAGATGACATTGAATCTATTGAGCGAGGTGTACAACACCCGTGGCCAATTTTGGTGCGAGATTCATTTATCAGTAAGTATTTCATTTAATCAGCCTCGCTCGAGAATGTAATTTAAATTCGTACGACGCGGGTTCTTTCAATGCAGATTGAGAATTGTCCGATGATCGCGCGCATCTTATTGATCGTAACACGTAGGAAAGATTCAAATTAACTTTTTCTCAACGATAAAAAGATAAATAATTGTTTTATAATTCCTGATAAATATAAAACCGGTTAATATAATTATCTCTTTTACAAATATTTTATTATAAAAAATCGATGCATGTCTCATTCGATAGTATACCGGTCGATAATAATGACTTGGTGCTTGTTATTTATCGTGACAATTAAGCTTCCGTTTTCCGTATCAAATGACGCTCCGACGAGCGCGATCACATACCTCGTGGATCGGCAATCAAGTTTTGCGGACAATCGAGGAAACGGAGTCATCGACGTCTCTCGTAGGTCAGGCGCCTACCGACACATCGGCGCACTCTTCACGTGTGTGCGAGTTGCGACTCCGTCGCGTATCAAGCCGCAACGTGATTCGATCGACCGCACCGAACGCGCCGAGCAGAACACTGGTGAGTGAGCGGACGCGTTAGATTGCGAAGCGGCGGCGGTGGCGACGGAGACGGCGACGAGGACGACGGCAACTAGCCAGGGTCGTTCCCGATGTCTCTCGCGAAGAGCACATGCTCGGGGATCAACAGTCCCCCCCTCGTCGAGAAACAAAGGGGGGAACTCTGGTACTTTCACTACTTTGACGGCGAGCATGTTCGGGTTCTCCGCGGATTCGGGATTGCAGGGTTGGCCTTCGATGACACATTGCAATACAAAGATTACGAGATTCACGATAATTATGTACATGATTCTTTTTTTTTTTTGGCAACTCTTTCACTTTTGTTAATACATATAGTGTGGTAAGATACTTGTACGTATTTTTAATTTGATCTGCGAATTCTGTGTTTATGTGTGTGTATGTATTACATTATACATAATATGTGTATACATAATTTTTCCTTTGCATCAAATTATCCCGGAAGCAATAATTTTAAAAGTCTAACAGATCGTTAGAGTTGCGTAGTCAAATTTTTTATTCGGCACGATATTATATAAAACACAATCTTAAATTTGCAATTCAAGATTGAATCTCTATTGCCGTCAATCCGTATTACGATATTTATATCTACGTAAGTTTTAATTTGATCTACTATGTATGATTTTTCCCTGTGCATCCAATTACTTCGGAGTAAGTGGTAGTTTCGGAGTTTAACAGATCGCTAGTTGCGTGATCAAACCTTTTTTTTTGGTACGATCTTATGTAAAACAATCTCGAATTACAATTTCCAAGTTTCAATCTTGCCTATTACTGTCAATCTGTATATTATATCACTATACGTAATTTTTATTTCGAGCCGCGCATTATGATACTTATGCGTAATTTTTAATTTGATCTAATTTTGCATAATTCTTCCGTTTGCATCAAATTATTTTAGAACGAAAAAACAGTAATTTCTCTGAGTTTAACAGATCGCTAATTGCGTGGCCAAACATTTTTTTTCCGCTCTTATGTAAAACAATCTCGAATTATAATTTTAAAGTTTTAACCTCCGTTGCTTTCGACTGCGAAAAAGTTTCTTTGTCGAAAGCGCGACGATCGCGTGTATTAAACTTTTCAAGAGCACACATACACACATGTCACACACATAAGACAGTTTCATGTTACTTTCACGTAGGTCACATCACTGACATTGAAGAATTGGGAAAGACGTGTGGAGTAAAACCACTTTCGAACGCGAGATGGTCGTTAATACAATAATATTTTTGCAATTTGACACGAATGTTCAGTTATATGAATTTGTACGATCGGAAAATCTGATGACTACATAATGAGAAACGTGACCGTGATTATAATACTATAATCTGCTTATCTTTCGCACGCGCGCGGGGAAAAGAAAAGACTGATTCGTTGCTTTACCTTATCATCATCATGTGGACTTTATTATATAAAGGGCTAATGCTAAAATGTACACAAGATAAGTTATTAAAAATGTTCATTATTGCGGTAGTAATAATTAATTATACACATGAATAGTCGTCTTCTACTAGAAAGTGAACGATGATCAATTTTCTTTTCGAGAGCTATAACTTTTAAATATATCAGATTCGACGCGTTTACTCGTAATTAAATTACAGCAGATACACGGTCGTATGAGACAAGGTCGGCGTAAACAGCGGGCCGCCGCATTACATACTAATCGATTTGTCTTCTCTAGGTTCTTTTAGTCGCCCCATTAGCTTGCCGTATTTAAGCACCGATTACATCGAGACGTTTCGCTCTAACGCGCGCTTTACACGTGGTTCGCAAGACAAAATCGTTTTACTTACGCACTAGTTAAGTAATCATATCTTTCTTTTTAAAATGACGTATCAGATTTTATTTATCTATGAGTAGAAGCCAAAAACACACTGCTAGCACCATCAAACAGTGCAATTATGTAGTTTCATATAATCTTAAATCAACTATATCGCGCTGAATGACATTTCGCAATTTAACGACACATTTTTGTTCATTTTGTATATATATAGCTAGGTTCCTTTTAAGAAATAATCACATCCGCCTTACCCTTACAGCCACAATATATCGGAGATACAATATTGTAATCGTAACGTTTAAATAACAGGTTGCATTTAAGTCTATCGTTCGTCCAGCAATGGACAGTACAGTCACGTGGCGCGTTTATATTGTGGATGAAAGGAAAAACATCTGGTCGCGAAAACTAAACAATAATAAAAAAAGAGTCGCTGCTTAAAGAAACATCTGCACGCAAAACAGTAGTAAAAAGTATTGATGCGAGTAAAATAGCGTCACGATGGACGACGAGTAATGCGAATTCCTGATTCGCAAAACGCGACGCACAAACTTAATAGTGTGCATTCATGCACTATATGCGAGACGAGTCGCTGAGATTTTAACAATCCAGTAGCGATCCCGTCGCATCGTCGACGTATTGTCGCCTAATTCATAACGCGATACGTATGTAAATTTAAATAATCGGAATTGTTCTCCTTTACATCATTTATCGATAAAATGACCCATCGACCGCTTCCTATCGGCGTAAAGCCTAAAAAGGACGACACCAGCGATCCGTATATACTTCCAATAAATTACATAACGATCTCACAGACCTGCGAAACTGCAGACCGTACTCCAGGTATCAGACAATCTTTTCATCCAGCGTTTGCAGATATTTCCGATTACTTAAAGTTGCACGGTTGCCACTTGCCGATTAACGATATGCATAATTAAATTACTACACACACACACAGGAACCAAAAAGCACAGATTTCGAGTTACTTGTAGAATTTGTCAGGTATAAGGAATTTTAATAATTGAACAAAGCATACACGTACAGTTTCAGTAATATTTATATATATATATATAGCCCAGTCTTACAAAAGAGTGACCACATCGGGACGGGCAAACATTGCTCACTTGCGTTAAAACTAACAATCGATGTGCTGTCAGTTCAAAGTTTTTAGTTTCACTGAGAAAGTAGGTATCGTAATGTTACAATTATCATAAGCACAATAATTAGAAACCAATCTATTAGATTCAAATACAAATCCTACTTTCACTCTCCTATTATGTTACTTCCATTTTTTTATTTATGAAAAACAAAGCGGACATGTGTTGTCTGATTCAGTATATATAATGCTGGATGACCACCTTCAAAATTGCCTCAATTGCCATTGTGGCAACGTTTTCCGCGGACTTGACGAACCGCGAGAAGTTCAGATTGATCACGTTTGCCTGAGGATTCCTCGGGCCCGAATACTGCTTAAGTTTAAAAGTATACGAGCCATAGCTAATTTCAATCGGTGCTGATGCGTAAGTGGCAATAGGCTGGGGCTGTTTCTTGGTGGTGTTTGGATGTTGAAGTCAATGAAGATTGGCGCATCACATGGCATACTTGCGCGTCCATTCACGTGCCAATTCATTATACTTCTCCCTGTCGGTTTTGTATATCCTGGCTATCTCTGGTACCAGTGGGTCATCTGGATTTGGATCGCACAGCAGGGAGCATATTGATAATAACACTGTAAAATGATTAATAATGTTAGAAAGCTATTGATGCAAAATGTTTTTCCAAATGCATATTACATGAAACACATACCCTTTGATATAGTGAGTGCGGGAGACCACTGAGATCGTAAAATATCCAAACAAATACTTCCATTACTGTTGATATTGGGATGATAAATTCTAGTCGTGAATGCCACCTGTAAATAAATGGTAAATAATATTATTTTTGTGGCGGACATTTATTTGTATCTTTCGCTTTTGCAATAACAATTAAAAATTTTATCTGTAGTATATACCTTAGGTGGTTTAAAAGGATAATCTGTTGGAAAGTGTATTGTTAGGAAAAATACCCCTCCTTGATACGGACTGTCAGGCTGCAAAAGAAACATTAATAATATATTAATATATACAATGTATGACATAATTATTCATAATAAAATTGTATATATTAATTTTAATGGCAATATATATTAAAAAATCATTACAGTATAAGAAATGTTAATATATAATGTAAATATAATATATAATGGCCATATTCCAATATACTGACAGTGAAAATTTATATAATTTACGTTACCTTGCGTATGGTATACTGTAGATTTTCAGTACTGATGATGTATATCGGAATATAACTAATATATAATTGCCAAAAATTAAATCTTTTCATCACATTTTAATATATTACTTATTAATATATTTAAAAATATTACATTTACTATAAAAATAGTTAGTAATCAGAGAACCGTAAATAATTTTTTGGAGAGAAATACGAATTACAGAACAGCCATTTCTTATTGATTTTAGGTTAAATCTGAATTTGTAAATCATTTTGCTCCACAATATTCAGTTTTTAGATAATCGAGAACAATAATGAAAAATCTGTAAAAATTGTAATATTGAATAAGTAAATGTGACATTAAAATATAGTCGCATCATTAATTTAAATATATTTGATAAGTTAAACAAAGTGTAAGAATAAAAAAAATTTTGCTTTACTAATGTTAGGTACTATAGCATAACACGTCATAAAACAAATCGGTGTAAAATACCATTGTGCAATAAACAGTCAGGTGATCGGCGTGAGTCATGAAAGGTTTTTTCAGCTTCAAAAATGGATATTTTAATTGTTATTTTATGTTCTAGAAGTAACAATTTAAATATCCATTTCTGAAGTTGAAATAACTTTTTATGACTCATGCAGAACGCCTGACTGTTTTACATCGATTTATTTTATGACGTGTTAAGTTATAATACCTAACGTTAGTAAAACAAATTTTTTTTTGCATTTTGTTTAACTTACCAAAATATATTTAATCAGTTCAGCAACCGCATTCAATGTCATATTTACTTTTGCTTTTTTTTCAAATGTTAAAATTTTCACAGATTTTCCATCATTTTTCTCGATAAAAAATTGGACGTAATAGAGTAACACCTTAGAAATTCTGATTCACAGCGATCCAAAATCCAGAAGAAACCTCTGGTTTACTTCTCTTTAAAAATGTTTTTATGGTCCTGTGTAATTTATATAAATTCTTATATGTAAAGAAACAAATGTTAAAATTAAAAATCTGCATAAAGTATTGCATCACTTACTGGTCCCATGATTGTTGCCTGCCAGTGGAATACTGGAAAAATATTAGGTTAAAAAATTACATGCAAGTTATTAAATGAGATAGCTTACATTTTTATTTTTATAATATGTTAATAATAAGTAATTATTTCTTTTTAATAAAAAAATCTATATATAAATCTAAATAAAAATTTAACATAGCAAAGTGCTCTGTTTTCAAGTTTGTAGTCTACGATTTGAGCTGTATTCTGATATACAACTGTTAATATATTCATCTGTTTGTGTCATACAAATTTTTCAAGTGTGTTGATTGATTATAAGATAGAAAGAGAGCCGAAAATCTTTGTTCTGCAACTAATTAATATGATTGAAAAATATGTCATAAGACAAAGCTAATATATCAGTCTTAAAAATCTACGTAGTCCATGTTACATATACTATAGATTTCCAGCATTAACAGTGTATATTAGAACACAGCCTTAGTACATTAAAATATTACTTATTTTGCATTATTTTTAATATTTAATATTTATTTTTTATAAACTTAATGCTTACAGTCATCTCCTACAGGTCCAGCCGAGCATTGTGCTGGCGGATCTCTACCAAGGTCCTGAAGTTCCTGAAATTACAAACAGATAATAACATTGTAAAAATTTCATGAAGTAGATGCTAATTTATAAAAAAAATAATATAATACAAGGCCCCTATGTAAGAATGTTTAATTTGAACCGAGATTTATGTTTAAAATAAATAGATCCTATCTGTTGCTTTTCAATATACTACTGCAACAATTCCAATTATACATCATACCATTATTCTATAATCAGCTTTGGTATTTATAAACATATATACATAATTCGACATTCTCTTGGCAGTAAAACCTAGTAGAACCTTCTAGATAATTTATGTACATATACAGTAATTGAACAAGATATTGACGCATAATAATGGGAATTCTTAAGACAAAGTTATTTGTTGCCCTGTAATCTTATCTACAATATCTTCATAACAAAGACTATACTAATTACAGTACATTACATTGTTCAAGTGATGTACGATTCTTACTAATATCCTTGCACTAACATAGATGATCAAGATGAAATATAAAAGTAATAAGCTTTTTGCTGGACTTTACAGCCTTGCTTCTATGAACCGAGCTCTCCAGTTGTTTCGTGTCAAAACACCATTCTATACAATCGCGCTATATACACGACAAATTAAACATTATTGCCACTCATGGAAACTGTTTGGGAGCTGCACCGTGTCAATTAATTCACTTTACCGTGTATACATCTCGAGGCTTTCACAACAGGCCACTGAAAAAGGTATCCCGACGCGAGTCACCCACGAGGTACCTGCACGCTGTGTAAAGCAGCGTAAAGGCACAAAAGGCCAGCGAGGAGCACCGCAGGAGAAATCGTGAGAAGAATGTACGTGCCGACGTGCGGATATGGTGCGGATCGCGTGTTACTTCCGGCGATCTCGCGGATACACACACGAGGCACACCAAATCCGTCCGGGTACTCACTGTCACCGACCGCGACGACCGAGCCCGGTTGACGAAGGGGCGTCGAGAGGGACGGTTCATGTGGCTCGTAGATGCGCACGGCACGGAACGGCCGCCATCTCCGCGCGCCGAAGCACGATCGTCGGAGTCGACGTCGTCGTCATCGTCGTCGGCGACGACGACGACGAGGTTGTCGCCGACACGGTCTGACGTGATTGTTCCAACGCTGCCTTTTTCGCACCAGCTCGACGAGGGGGAGAGAAAGAGAGAGAGAGAGAGAGAGAGCGCGGAGAAATCGTTAAGGGGCGTACGGCCGGGCTCGGAGCACGACAATGCACGACAACGCCCGGCCGTACGCGCGGCCACGCGGCACGAACGCCGACCGGCCTCCACGTACCTTATTAATTCGCTTTAAAGCCATTTGATGAACTGTGTGTTGATATTAACTGGCCGCAAAAACCAGACAGCGATACCCCGCTTGCTGTGGATCTTTGATTAGGGATTGCAAGATGGCTGCCTTCTAAACGTAGGCCGACTGCGCTGGTCAAGCGCGATTCGCACCGTCGGAATGGTCGGAACACGCGACGCGTCACGGTATTTCTACACGGTAGGTGTCCGCGCAGCGGGATCCTCGCGGGCAGAAGATACGGCGCAGTTTCGTATATTTTTATCGCGCTGCTTTTTTCGCCACCGCCGGGGAAAACGTTACGCGGACGCGGCTTCTCGATCTTGCAACCGGGGGCCACCGTTGAATTTCCTTTTGTCGGCAATCAGCGGATTCCAACCGCACACGCGCCACCGCCGACAGATGACGCGTGCGGCGGCACGAACGATCCGAGTTCCGAGCGATTCCGTTCCTCCGGTCCGGCACGGCGACGCTGCACCTGGCACGACGCGACGCACCGACGACACCGTTGTGTTCGTCTCGTCTGATCTCGTCGAAAGTATAGCGATCCGCGGAGCGATCCCCTGGGATGATATAAAGGGGGAGGAGAAAGTGCGAATCGAATTCTTTTCCCGGATTGCCACTCCACTTTTCGACAGCTTGCTTCAACGCGCAAGATACTACGCTACGACTAGACAGAGGAATGACCTTGCCCGCTTATTGCTTGTCATTGTAGCGAATAGATTACTCATGCTCGCGAGCATGCTTGAAAGATATGGTCATGCTTTCTGATGAGAAAATATGACAAAGATACGTTGCGCGAGATGACAACAATCGTAAACATCAGCGAGAACTCTTTCTCTTCGAACCGCAGAGAGATCTTGATATATCTATATATATGTTTTATGTTAACGAGTCCAATAAACATGCGCGCGATTACACGAGACAACGTGTGTCGTATGTATTGGTTCCTTAGTATTATGATTCCAACCGGTTTTCTCAACAAAATGAAAATTCTAGAGAAAAAAAAGTGTTTGGTGCATTATATAGAACGGTTAGGGAAATGGATTCCAATATCAGAATTATTTCGTAGAAAATAATAAAAATTTAAGAAATAATATTGAACAATTCTGATAATACGTATCAAAGGACGTTTAATATTTCCTCGTATACTATTGAGACATTAGACGATATAGCTTCGAGGTAATGACGCACTTGAAGCCTTCTCGATAAATCTATATAGTATGATGTAACGAAGCGGTAAATATTCATCATAGAAATTGATCTGTCATTCGAAATTGATATATGTGTATAATTATATAATAACCATCGTACATATGTAACATTACCCTGTTCCAAAACGAATTACATAATCATACACGCAGCTATCTATAAAAGATTTCGATCATCCATAATCTGTATGTATTATTTATATAATCCAGTAATTCTCTTTCTCGGCAATGTAATGCGTGTTTTACATTGCAGGAGCAACAGCAGTAGTGGATAGGCTGTAAGAGTAAAAAATTGGTCAATCACAGTCAAATGTGAGAAGAATAATTGACAGTGATTGGTCAATTTCTTACTCTTTCAGTCTTATCCACTACTGCTATTATATTGCCGTTGTAGATCATACATTAAATTTTCATCATTCGTCTATCAACCGAAGTCTAATGCGTCGTCTACAATACACGGAGTACGAAATAATATGGAGTGTACAATAGAAATGTGTAGTGATTCAGAAAGTCCTAAGTAGAAAATTTACCGATTATAGTCAATTATTCTTCTCATATTCGACTACGATTTTTAAAGATTTTAATCTTATGATCGTTACGATTTCTATTATAAACCCCGTATAAAAAATTGACCAATTACAACCGATTATTCTTCTCACATTCGACTGTAATTGGTTAATTTCTTACTTTTATTCCGTATATTGTAGACGACGCAGAACTTCAATGCAGATTTTATATTGTTCTGGACTGTATAGAACTCTAAAAACATTCATACACATATTTATAAAAAATTTAACAATAAGTTTTTACTATCGTAGAAACTGGGTTGTATTTCATTTTAAATTCTTTCGAATGTTTTTTTTTTAAGATATCAGTAATATTAAATTACTTATCAATTTAACTTGCAATATTACATATTCCAATCTCAGTCTAGAATTGTGAATTTCAAGATATAAATATATAATCAGTAGTTAATTGCTCTTGAACTAGAAATTATAGAAATTTATATAAAAAGTTATCAAGATCCAACAAATACACTCTGTTTACTTATTTATTGTATTTTACTTATCTTTACAGGTTTAAATTTATGTAAAAAAATTTATAATAAAAAAAATGGTCGATGAGGGATGGACATAAAATTCGAGGATATAAAATAAATGATAAAATCAAACAGTAAAAGTGAAATGATTTAATAGAATAAAATGATGTAATGTAATTGATCTTCAAACACAATACAAGTCCACTACGAAAAAACTACAAAAGACTAGACAGTCAATAAACTCTCGGCTAATAAAAACAAACAATCTTATCGAAGCTGCTCGCGTCCACGTTCACGTCGTTCCCTTCATTATCGCAACATGGGGTTGGAAAAGTAAAAGAAAAAAAAAAAATCAAGAAATACCGACGAGAGCCGACCAAATCAGAGCTCATCGTAACCATGCCGGTCACGGCAGGACGCAGCAGACTCCAACAATTATGCTCGTGCCGCAACAAATTATACGTGCATCAGAAGAAAAAAACGAGGGACCGTTGCAAGAGGAAGAGGCAGGCCTTCGTGTACAATCCGGAAGAAGAGATTTGGCACGAGCCCTACATGCATTCGCTTCGCCGTGAGTTCTCGGACGAGTCTGTGCTGTGCGACTCCAAGATCGAGCTACCCTGGAGGGACATCGCCCTGCGGTCGGCGATGAGGATTCGTCCCGACCCGACAGCTGCCGAGGTTGATCGAGAGACGGACGAAACTGAGACGATGACTGTCATTAGCGAGAAGCGAGAGTCTACTGGTGCCATGACGTTGCCGTGGCAGGATCTGCTCATCACGGAGACTTTGCGAAGCACGTTGGAAGTTCCGGAGCTCTGCGACTCCTCGGTAGAGATACCCTGGGCCGATCTCGCGCTGGAGAAGCCGGTGGAGATACGTCCATCGCGGGAGGAGCGGATCTGTGCGACTGACGACGTCGAGATTCCTTGGGATGAGATCCTGATGCCGCGTAATATCGTCATCAAATCCGAAAGGAAGCGAAAGCATCCCTCGTCCTACCGACCGCCGAGGCTGCGTGCCGACGTGACGTGCATCCCCTGCGGCATGCCTACCGGCTGCGCGAAAATTCGCGCGAAAACTCGCTTAAATCCTCAAGAGAGCGTTGCGGGATCCAATTGGATGGTTACCTGTATGTAGGGCTAGGTGTAAACATTTATTTGCTGATTTGATTAAATTTCAATGTCTCAACTCGTACAAATTACGTATCGCTTTAATATTATTATTAGCTACGTTGAGCAAAGTGAGTGTTCATAGTGATTCCATGTATATATTACAAGTAAGCTCTACACTTTCCTTACATAATCAATTTATTAATGAAAGACAGTAATTAATTACGTAATACGTATTTGAAGTACTGAGCAACAATGCTTTCAGTACCTAAAATAAATAATTAATTACTGTCTTTTAGTACCAGACCAGTATTAGACTTTTTGCAGAGCTGGAAGTTATTTTTATCATTATATTTTTACCAGTACTTTTTAAAACAACGATTTGATAATGACGTTGCATTTATGATGATAATTAATTAAAAGTTGAGATTAGGAATGTCACTTTTAAAAAGTGACTTGTCATCATTATTACTTTTCAAAATAAGTGAATTTCTTGTGATGATCGTTTCGTTATTTTTGAAAGTAACGAATCGACTCATCACAAGAAACAAATTACTTTTTTCAAAAAATAATGCGTAATGATGACAAATCACTTTTTAAAAGTGATATTCCCAATCTTAACTTTTTATTAATTATTGTTATAAAAATTCCAACGTATTACAAAATTGTTTAAAAAAGTAATGATGAAATTAACTTCTCATCTCTGGATTTTTGTAAAAGTTATTAGATCCAGGGAAGAATTAAAAGTAAGAACAAATTGTATTAAAGAATCACTGAGCGTTCACTGAGCTGCTTTGTTTACCGAACATAACTTTCGCTGCGTTCAACGGAAAAAGCAGTCTTGCAGTTATTGTAAGATCATTTAATATGATTAGTTTATATATTTAGATCCAGTGAGGAACTGAGAAGAAGTAAAGAATTTTACAACAGTTACTAAATATTTTATTTTATTTAGTTGTTACAGCTACTTTGTCTGCTATAACATAGTTATTGCTTTTCGCTCGTTCCATTAATATAAATAGCAACGTTTAGGTCGAATATTTGTAAAAGAGAAGCGATATCACACTAACAGAAATAATAACGGTACAAAACAATATAAGATTACACGTTGTAAAAATTGCCCGTAGAAAAAGTTCGATTTGCATTTTAAAACCTTGATCCGTTCATTTTACTTGCCGGATCTTGCGTTACCAGATTATTATCTTTTTTGAAATCCTTTTGGCATTAACGTAACAGAGGAAAGTAAAAACCTTGAAGCAGTTCGAAAATGCCTTTTGAATCAAAACGAAATAAAACAATTTTCTTTAAAAATTTATTTATAAAACGACAGTGAAACTGTCAATATTGATTAAATGATAATGAAACTAACAGTATTGATTAAACGAAAAGTATGTTATTTATATGTGTGTGTGTGTGTTTATCGTTACTAGATTATTATCTTTTTCGAGATCCTTATAACGTCATAAAGAAAAGTAAAGACCTTGATGTAGTTCAAAAATGCCTTTTGAATAAAAATGAATTTTTTTTTTAATTTATCACGTATGAAGTGAAACAATTTCCTTTGAAAATTTATTTATGAACCGACAAGTAAAACTGACAGTATCGATTAAACAAAAGGTACATTATTTATTTTTTATCGTTTCACAACATCGTTAGTAAATCACTGCATCAAATGCTTTCCATTTGATGACACAATAAGTCAACATACGTATCGTTTTGTCTTCGTTATTTATGGAATGCGAGGAGAGATAAAATGACGTTCGTGTTGACTTGTATCATTAAATGGAAAGCTCTCCCATTGTTTTCCTTTTCTTGTTTACACGCGAGCGTCCGACTTATCAGCGGAGCGAAAAAACAGGAACTGTGTGACCGACGTTGAAGTTGGTGGCGCCACCGCGGTATCTCGCCACGCTTCGGCAACCGTCGGATCGCGTCGGGTCCAATCGGCTCTCGTGATCCGCGACCGTGCCACTCAGTCGACACTTGTCAGCGAACGCGTACGGTGGGTTTTTGTCGTGGAACATACACAAGAGAGATGCAACCGCGAGCGTCGTGCGAGTAACGAAAATGGCGTGGTGACCGAGAGCGTGAGTGTTTTCCGTTTTCCTACCCGCGTTTACACGAACAGCCGTGCGTCTGCCATTGGAAACGCCGTCGTCCGATCACCGACGGTTAGGTTCTTTCCCCCGCGGGGACAATCGACTTGAAGGAGTGCGCCATGATCGAGTCGGGACGACGAACCCGGCGACGTCGTTAAGGTGGTTTATTTATGCAGTGTGTATCCCGAGTGTGCTTTGGTGAGACACGAGCGTCGAGGCGAGGGATCCCAACGGTTCATGTCTTTGTCGTCGTCGTCGTTGCCGCACGCCCCCGCCAACGACGACGCTGAGTCGCGTACGACCCTAACGTCGCGACGTGACGCGACGTGACGTAACGGCGACGCGACGCGACGTAACGGGTGACGCGTAGAGTGAGTACGTGCATCCAGCCACGACACGTGCATGAACCCCGATAAAGTAGACGAGGGATGTCCTACGCGGCGGTCGCAACTAGGATTCGGTGATCCTGCCTGCTCGTGACAGCTCGACGACTCGCTCCGATCCGGGCGAGACCAAGATGGCGCCACCGACGTTTTGACACTTGCCGAAGGACGACCCGTCAGCTGGACCTCATCGCCGTCCGCAGGCGACCCGTCTATTATGAGCAGAGAGTTCTACGTACCCTGCGTCACACCTTACGTCTATCAGGTAAGATCCTAAACACTTGAGATTTGATAAGCTCGCAATTCAATGGCTCGCGTAAGAGAACACGAGTCTCATAACATTCATATGTAGGTACACAGTGAAAAATATTTTGTCACTCTTATGGTCAAAGTCAGCCGTGTTGGAACGATATATTTATATCGTGCGATGTATGTCGTATATCTGAGGATTTATTCCAATATTCGATTTTGTCCGTAAGTAATGCTCCTCTTATTTAATTGATCTAATCTATGACTCGTTTCTAACTTATTATTGTTTTGCATTAGAAACAGTCCACTTGAATCTTGAAATTTTGTGTTGAACTTTTAACATATTCGAGTACAAATTCAATATATTTAATGATTGTGTTAGAATCGTGTCTCCTGATTTTATTTTCATTTGCTCGAGTTGTCGAATCTGCGTCGAGTTTTGCATTGCGACGTTTTATTTGGCTCGATTCTCGATACCGATAGATTTCAATATTTTCAACTTCCTCGCTGGAGATTTGAAAGCGATCCAAGTTGTCGATAAATTTTTTTTGTTAGTATCGATCGTTATATTTAAATACTTGGGAGAACCGGTAATACTCCAGCAACGCTCTTTGTAAAGGAAAACATACTAAGAAATCTATATAAACATGAATTCGACGACTTTAATTACACTTGCATGACAGTCACGCGTGTGATAGCGATAAACACAGGCTTTAGAATATTTATTTTTATTATTTTTGAGTAGACTTGAATTATATATATGTTGATGTTTTTCAATTTTTTGTATTTCAGTTTCCTATTGATAAATATAATCTCCTACAAGTATTCTAATTTGCGATATTAAAAGTTTCTCTCTTATTTCATATTATCACGTCGAAAGATACAGAAACTTAATTTATCATGTAAATGATACACGGTTTGCAATTTATATGTCTGTACATATATTGTATATACAATATATATATTATATATAATATATATATGTATATATATTCATACGCATGATAACGAACGCGAGCTATAGTCATAAACATGGACTGAATATTTATTTTTATTGGTTATAAAGACTTTAGTTTAATAGATTTTTAAATTTATTTATATTGTAATTTCTCATTAATATTAAAATATTCCTACAAGTATACTATTTTATGACCGCGATTTTTTTTTTATTTGAAATTATTACATTGAAAAACGTGTAAATTACGCAAAAAAGTTAAAATAATAAAATATTACGTATAAATATTATTATTTGATAATAAAATATTATTATCTAGCTTAATTTGCCATAAATTGTGCACTCACTATCAGAGAAAATATCTATTCTACTATTTTCTATAATTTAAAGTCTCGTTATTCTAATTATTCTACATTGAACGTATGCGTTTAAGTGTGGTCCACAATAATATGTTGTAAATACATCGTTGCTAGTCACAATGCTTCGCAACAGCCAATAAGAAGCATCAATCAATAATAATTAGTGATGCTTCTAAAAGCATTGCAACTGGCAACGGGATGTTCGTAACTTATTGTATTTAAAGCCACCCTAAAGCCGGAATCAGACTACATTGAAGATTGAGATCGTAGATTGAAAGATTGTTTGATCAATCAATCAATAGGGGTTAAAATTCTTTTATCCTCATTGGTCAAATTTCAATCTCAATCTTTAATATGCATAGTCTGACTCCTAAAAGTCTGCATTACGATATTAATTGGTGAGAAACAAAAACCGATCATTCGGCACAATGGTCGATATCGAAACGTGCAAGGTTCAAATTGATAAGTAGGATTTGTGTTAAAAGAGGTTTCATCGACGATATGATTCAGATATGAGTAATACAATCAATAGGGAAGCCTCGAAGAGTTCGGATACCTCGAAACGACGAGATCCTGTGACTCGTACATCCGTTAATAATTCAGATAAAAAATCTTTATTCTCCGTAATGAGACAGAAGGTGAGAATATAATATTTGCGATCTCGACAGATGGAAGTTGAAAGATAAGATAACGTACGTGTTCGAAGAGAAGAATCCAGATATTTTACTGGTCTAAGCAACATTTGTCAACATTTTTGGTTGTATGCGATTTATATTGCAACATCAATTCAAGCTCCTATTTTTTATCTCTCATATTCCAATAAACATTTGACATGTAACTCTTGTACTATTCGGTATCTATTTACGAAGGAGAGAGATATGATAGAGAGATATGAAGCATAAAATGTCTTATATAGATATATGTCAAACAAATTTATTAGTTATATCTGTATTTAGATTCTGAAAAAAAAAACATGATTACCATAACCGAAAAGAATATTTTTCGCCCATCAATACAATTGATTATAAAAATTATACTTCGACTGTAGTATAACTGTACTATACTTTTTATAATCGAATTGTGTTGATGGTCGAAAACTATTATTTTCGATTGTGGTAACAATGTTTTTTTTTTTTTCAGATCTAGATATATAACGTTTTTTCCGCGTAGCTAATTTTAAGATATTTCAATAAAATTGTTGTTTCCGTGTACAATCGTGTTAATTGTGGAAACTTTGACTTCATAAATATTCAATGACAAAGTAAAAGGGTATCTTAAATGTCCAGACAATTATATGTAAGCTGATTAACAAAATATTAATTGAACAACTTAATCGGCTTTGCGACCTGAGGGAGGGGCGAAATGCGTGTTTTACCTTCAGGAGGAAACATCGTCTAATGAACACAATGCACAGATTAGATCGAAGCTGCCCACCTTTCATAATCCTTTGAAGCGTTTTATGAAATCGAAGAGTGAGAGGGAATCCGATTCCGAAGTGGAGAACGTGAATCACTGTGAAATTCGTCCGCGTACTCTTGAGAAAATCGACGAACTTACGAATGTTAGCAGTGGTAAAAATATATCACGTTTGATATCAATAGCAAAGAGAAATACATATCTTTTTAAAATGTTCTCTAAAGAAGTTTATATTTTAAAGTGTATTTAAAAGTATATTCCTCTTCCATTCTCTCTCTTCGTCAGCATCCACGCTGAACGAACAAGATACGGAAAAGAGCAATACCTCGGGTTATCGGTTCGAGCATCATTCTGTGGATGCTGCAAGGACGCGCGAATCTTACCAAGACCTCGCCAGTTATTTCTCCGAAGTCGACCCCGATGAACCCTCGACCTCCGCTACGAACACTATCGTCCTCTCCGCGAGTACCTTCGATCGTGATCTCGAGAGAACGGAGCCGAGTAAGACCTTACAGAATTCAACTGCCGATGCCGGTTTATTTATGAGATAGATATACATAGAACGATGCACGTAAAATATTTTGCGCTCGTGTTATTTTCAGAAACGTACATTCTGAGTAAGTTTATCCTAATTTAAATTTGCTCGTAATAATATATATCGATGGTGGTATTTCAATTTATTACGACAATGAATCGAGAATTATAAAAGACGTTCTCAGTTTTCTATTTAATTCGATTTAAAAATCTTTTAGACGCGCATGGTATATTTAATTTCTAAATTTGATTATAAATAGATATATGACATTTATCAAGTCAATTATAAAAACATTGTTCTTGGATCTTCTATTTAAATTAATTTAAGTTTTCTTTTAATGCACGATATATTTGACAAATTGTAGTAAGCCTGACTAGTCGGCATTCAGAAAGTACAAGCTAAATGTTATTTTCTCAGACTACTTTATGATAAGAGTTATTTTTGATTCATAATCGGAAAAAACGATACACCTCGATCTTAAATAGTTTTCTATTTTGAAAGTTATTCTGTGCAGCTACGTTTTAAATCGATAAATCTTAGAATCAAGTAGCCTTTAGCATGCGGTGGGAAACCCGTGCGCGAACGTCAATTGCAATGTCTTACTTCCGTTCCTTTTCCCCGATGATGCGCATATTGCAGGCGAAAATCTACAGAGTACGATAATGACGTCGACAACTTCCACATCGTTCGGAAGCGAGATAACTGATACTGTCTCGAATTCCATGAACACCGAGGAAGTGTCGGATGCGGATTTCACGAACGTGTTGCAACGTAGTACCATTGTCGCGGTGGCTCCAATGGGACTGACGTTTTCTACACAATTAGGGTGTGTATTGCTAATTTCCCATTTTATTTTTTATTCGAAGTAAAGAATGGTATTCCCTCTGTAGAGATTTCAGTTTTTAATCGCCACAAAGATATCGAAGTATTTTTTTTATTTTTGAAATGTTTCGAACAGAATAATTAAGGATTTTAAATTAAAAATTTTTTTGATGTTTTTTTCCTATAAGATACATCTGCATTTTTTTTCACCATCTAGATTCTTATCAACGCCTTAATCTTTATTGCTTATATTAACTCGGCAATACGGAATAGCGTAAAAGATCCAATTACTGACGTGACCCAAATACTGTCAATCTAATTTTAAATGCTTTTTGTAAGTATACATATGTATAAGTAATTTTATTTAATTTTATTTATAAGTAAACATTTTCAAAATTTAATAAAATTAAATATAATTACTTATAATATAATTTATATATTAAAAAAAGACATTTAAAATTAGATTATCAATATTTGGGTTACTGCAGTAACTTTTTTTTACCTATTTTTTAACTCTTTTAGAAGCAATGTGGATCTTTGAGAAAGAGAGCAAATTTTTTCATTTTAGATTAAATAAAAATTTGAAAAAATTCTGATATACTTATCAAAGTTTTTATCAACGAATTTTACCATTATGTATAAAAGTCGGATTGTATTTTACTTATTTTTTGTAGATTTAAATTTATCTATCACACGCAACACATGTGTGTCTTTAAAGACAACACAGGTGTCTTTAAAGACTTCCTTTGCCGGCGGCAGGTTTTATCTCTTTATGCAAATCTTTTTTGTTTATCGCCTAAACTTGGAGTCAAACTCACTCGGTGTCGGTAGCATGAGTCGAGGGCATATAAATATCGAATTCGCAAGAGCGCATAGACGCAGCGTTGCGGTTCGAATCCGCAAGCCCGCTCGCGTGCTAACCGCGTTAAAAAGCGGTAACGGTACCGCCATTGCGGTCGGTTTACATTCGACTAACACGTTGGCGACATCCAATGCCCGCCGGAAACGGTCTCGACTGGTTGATCAGCTTGACCCTTATAGGCCCGTAAATGATACAGACAAATAAACTATCGAACGAGATGCGTTGTCGCTTCTTAAGAATTGCAATCGCACTTTGAGAAGAATATCATTTTCTGATACATATCTGAAATCAGAACCGCTTATTACGTACGTTAGTAATATCTAATATTAATAGTAATACCTAATATTATTTTAGAAATATTGATATACAAGAGCCGATCAAGTCTTCAACTTGTGATAAGCTTTATATCCATGAGGCTAGAAATCGCATTGGGATCTCGGACAGGAAAGAATTAACAAATACATTTGAACAATTCGGTCACACGATCAATAATGCAATTGATCAATATTTTCTTCATTCGAGATCGAGGACCGATTTCTAGCACCGTTGACACAAGGCTTAAGATTTGCCTTAAATAAGAAACATTATGCAAAAAAATATACTTAAGTACATGTATACGAGCGATACATTAGTCCACCTTTGATCTGAATTTTGCAATTTTCTAAAATAAACGTAAAAGCCTACAAGATATACATTAGATAGATTCGTGTAACTTTTTTTTTCGAAACAACATTACGTGTCCTAAGAATATTTATCAAAGAATATAGAATGTTTTATAGCAGTCTTCATAAAACACTCATACATTGAACTAATTTGTTCAGATAGAGTGATATCTCTTATAGGTATACGTCGCATCTGCGGATTCGAATTGCAACGGGTTCTATGCGGGGTGTAGGACTGCACTTTCACGGTTTTGCGTCCTGCTCACTGGATCGTACGGAGATCCTATTTGATTACAAGCTGTACTATATGCGAATGGCGGTTACGTCTCTGCGTGACTCATTCGCTTCGTATACACGCGTGTACACGAGAGCGTGCTTGTATCTATCGGTCACCTCGTTTGAGAAAGTTGCGTGAGGTAACGCGCGTATTGAAACATTACTTTTGCTGTAAAATATGAAATCAACCGTCCGTCGCCAATATCAGTAATTTCTATTCCGCGCTGAATCCTTTATCATGCTTTTATTTTCTCACAATCAGTAACACGTCTTTATCTTCCATTGCTTAGCACAAAATCTTCATAAGAGGATCCTTATTTCATTTTTATTTTTAAAAATACAAACTTTCGGTAATCCTTCATAGGGATTTTCAAGTAACTTTACAAAAAAAGGATGGTTTTTTTTTTAAAAACATATCTAAAAATTTTAGTTAGATACAGATACAAAAATAATTTTGTCAGATCATTGAAATAATTCTGTATCTAGGATACTTAAGCGTGTTGCTACTAGATAAGAGAATGTTGAAACTTTTTGCAACAATGTTAATTATGTTTGAGCGTCCTACTTAATTATTCTAATATATAGTTCCACAAAATTATTTTTTAATCTATATATAGCTAAATTTTTAAATACTTCAGCAAAATAATTTTTTCCGTGTATATTTAATAGAGCAAAATTCATTTAGTAGTATTTATTTTGTAGTGTAATAGTCTGTTTTTAATGTGTTATAGTTTATATGTATATATAATGTGTTTCTGTTATTTCGAATACGAACATATAAGTATACTGCAGAGCAATTATTTTCGACCTACTCCTGTTCAATATCTTCTCAGCTACCGATTTAAAGAAACACAATCTGATATCTGTTGAAGATTAATAACGTTGCGATGACAATATCAGACAAAGCAATCCAGCTGTATGAAAGCGGGAAGAGAAGACTTTCTCTATGCGCGATATAGATAGGAATTCGAGCAAATTTCTCTTTCTGAGCTTTAGTGCGGTTACTTCTTCATAGTATCGTCTTCTGTCCACCGCAGATTCTCTCTAATGAAAGCTTAAATTGCACTTTGCCGTGAAATAACTTCGGTGATTTGTCGGCAGGCAGGTGCATCCTGGCACCGAATATGGATTCGGGACATCGTACCATGGAGCGGTCGATTGGCTTATGTTAATATACAGGGTGTTTCTGAATTGCATTGTACAAGAAAATTTTTATTCGCCAATCTTTTTATCAATTTTAACATTAATGTCGTCGTATAAAGGCAAGACTAAATGTTGTTTATTTTTTATTATACTTTTTGTATTTATTTTAACAAATTGATGAAAAATCGATACAAATTTAGATAAAAATATCTACTATTAAAATAGCAATTTTGAAGAACATATTTTATAATCTATTTTTGAAAATTAATTTACGACAATGTCTTTTGTAGTTGCATAATTGATCAAAATTTTTTAAGGAAATTTTATTAAAAAAAATTAAAGGAGAAGCTCAGATATGATGTCTACATATAATCTATATAGATACAAAATGTGCGAAATGCACTGATACGCACGATAAAAACGAACCACTCTGTATACTGGTACAAACGACTGTGGCGTGCCGACAACTTTGAAAATTTTCGATCGCGAGTAAACGAGGAATTAGTCGTCGTTTCGCGGTTCCTCCCAATACCGTCGATTGACTCCAGCAACGATTCCACGAGCCGTAACATGCTGATAATTTTGGTGAAAAGTCGCCGGATGTCACGCGGCTCCGTTTCAGAGAATAGATTGAAATGGTGTTTGTGCAGGCAGGGGTTCGTGTTTGTGAAAATCTATTCAAAGTAACCGCAATGGATCATGTAAAATGAGCGAGCAAGAATTTCGACATTAATCTCCGTTTAAACAATACCCATTAATTCCTACTGATCCCCCGACCTTGTACAAAATTCCTCGTTCGCCGCGAAACGGGAATGAGTCACGGTGCAGGAATCATTTTATATATCGGGGAGATAATAAAATTAGCGAAGGCGCGTGTGCAGCAGTCAGCAATATAAAGGCATATGGATACTACTTTGCATTATTAATAATCGATAGAAAATATGAACGTACGGGTGGGATCACGTGCACGTTGAATATATCGTCGGGTTGGGGTTCAGTCACCCGTGCATTTCGTGGGCGTCTCCTAATGTGGTTTTTACTCCGTACGCATACGTGCGTGTACGTGCACGCGTATGCGTGCGCATGAGTAAGTTCGCGCGATAGCGTCTTACTTATTGCTTTAGAAAGTAAAAGTCGTCGTCCTACGATGCGCCACGTGCACGCAACACGACGTATGCGATGCGAGGTTCCTCGTGAAAACACGCTTCTGCATGCACGCGAATATTCATCGACTTGTCTTTTCTGTCGATCTCCCTTCAGCCACATTTCGAGATAATATACCTTAACTACACATAAGATTACAAGTAATTTAAAGATAATTATTTTTAAAGTCATAGTATAGTATTGCAGTTAGAGAGGGCTAGATAACACATTCAATTTTAAGCTTAAAATAACTTCTTTTATCGTTATTTCTTAAATTTCTTGTTCACGACTAATACTATAAAAAATTGTCTAAATTTTTAGATAGTTATATCTAATCACACATTTTTTTGAATTTCTAGGTATAGTTGGCTGAATATTTCTGATCTCAATATCAGACATCAAAATTAGAAATATTCATACAATTTTGAAATTCAGACAACTAAAAATTCAGAGAAATGTAACTAGAAATTGATTTGGCTAAAAATTCAAATAATAGTCCGTCAGAAAATTCAAACAGTGTGACTGAGAGAACTTCTGCTTTTGTCTGAATTTTAGACAATTTTTTACAGTAAAAATATGTATTTAAGAACCAAAAATGTGCATAATTTATGTTTTATATTTTTTAGGTCGAAAAAATATTTTTTCTTTGATTAAAAAATTTCTTTTATATATAAAGCCTTATTATTAGACTAAAAATATTTAAGCAGCCTACTATTTTTACAAAAAAATAAAGCTAATTAATAATAATCGAATCTCAGGAATGAAATCGTCAACATGTCCGAGACGACAGAGTCAAGAACGCGGGATCAAAGAATAGGTCGGGACGATGTACGAGAATTTTACAACAATACTTTACGCATGGTGATTCGCAAGCCGATGTGTCCGCAAAACGACGAGCCCAGTATATACTGAAGTTACATCAAATATTGTAATTATCAAAAAACCTGCTTTTTTGCGAGTGTTATATACATGATCTTTGTCGATAAGAGAACTTCGCAAATAAAGCTTTCGCTTAAATGCATAAGTTATTCATTTGAGGGCACCGTAGAGAGAATGGGATTATTCGATTATGCAAGAGACAAGTAACTGAAGTAACTTGTCGGAACGACGTTTCACCTCGCGAATCCCTTCAAATCCGTTGCACGTTTTACACGTTACACCGTCCGCACGAACTGTCTCTTTCACTTACATAGAAGAGGACTCAAGCCGGCATTACTCGCGCGAGACACGTGCGCGAAATGTCCGCGAACGTGCACGTTCGTTGCACTAAACCAGCACGAGCTGCCGCGCGCGCAATCGATAAGAAAAGTGTTTTCTCGCAAATATTTAAGATTACATACTTCGCTGTCGGAGCGCATCTCCACGCGATGCTGCATAGCTAATAATTTACGTCAGCTTCCTTTCGTTATCCTAAAGAACGTGAAAGTCTTCTCATTACGGTGATTTGCCTGAAAATTACGCTTGTTATGAAAACAGTTATCCACATCGTGTCAGTCAGTTTTTAGGATAAATAAATTCCTAATTACAGACACTCATGTTTATATCGGTAAATCTTGTGATGATGGATTTCTACTGTTTCAAACATTTTTCAAGGCGAATTCATAATTTATAGATTAACAACGGTACGGTCTATTTCGATCAGTTGATCTCGATAGTATATTGAATGTCGATTTCTCTCTTAAAAGCGTACATAGACGCACTAGACAATAGTGTGCTCACTGACGTCGGTGTTATTAGGCACAATTATATGTGGTTAGCGCAATCAGCGTATGCAGTGAGGTGTAACATTTATAATTAACCTACGACTAACTGCGCACGCGTGTATGCCGTGAATGTAATCAACAATTTGCAACCGGAAGTAAAGAAGTTAATTAAGATGCTTTTTTTATTCTTTTTTCCTCATTTGCTCACTTAATTAACACTGATGTGTTTGCCGTACTATTATTTCATCATAAAAATAAAATTGAAATATTTTATCCGTTATTATTTATCATTGCGTTAAAAAAAAAAAGATTGGTTGAATATGGCGTAGCATTTTTTAATGAGATGCAGCAGTCAATTTTTAGTTGTAATCTTATTACGGATGGCTAATGCAACTAAAAATTGGCTGCTGCAGCAAATTCAAAATGCTATGCCATATTTTATCGTCTAAATTACTACTGCAGTTAATTATGATAGAATTGCTTTGAAACGTTGTGTTTATTTGGCTTAATAACTTTTTTTTCAGTGTGCTTATTATAAAAAAAATAAAACTTTTCACGAATGTTAAAGTTATGTATAATCGCATTTTTAAACTGGTTTTTACTTAAAATTTTGTTTACCTATGAATATTTTTATTTTTCAAAGAGATATTTAGATTTCATTCGTTTTTACGGGTGTTTATGTTTTATGAACAGATTTTATTGTATTGCACACATGTGACAATGGAAAGGATGTTTAGATTTGAAACAAGCGTAACAAAGTTAATGATTTAATAGCATTGAACAAGCAATTCGTCGTAAAGACAAAAAGAGATAGAGAGAGAGAGAGAGAGAGTTCGAATAAACGCGCGAACATTAGGTGCTCGCATACATCCGATGTTAGAAAGCGAGTTACGCGAGCGCGTACACCTTTGTTCGCGTTCATTATCCATGTGGTGACGGTGATTCGCCGGTAATTTCATTTTTTTTACTTACCTATCCGTTTACATAAACGCGCACGACGCGACGCGGCGCCGAGAGAGGCATCGAGACTCGAGACAATGACTGAAATATTTCATCGTTTTGACGGCGTAGTAGCGTAGTTGGCGCTGTAACGACTTACGATGTAACACTTTTATTGCGAAACGCGATTATGTAATTTAGTCTATTTGTTCAACAGAAAATATCGTAATATATTTAATTCTCTTTATAAGAAATTAACGCAGTAAATAATAATAATCAAGAATTCTAAAATGTAACTGAATTTCTGCACAATAAATAATCTCCGATTTTGTGATTTGGAGATTGACGAGATTATATATTAAGAGAATCGTCGTAGGATAGAGCGGAGCTCTAATTGTGACACTTTTTATTTAAATTATTATAAATCTTTACACTATTATGGTAGAATTGCTTTGAAACGGTTGTGTTTATTTGGCTTAATAATTAAAAATTTTATTCTTTATATCAATAATTAAACATAAAATATATGTTTGATCGTGAGAATAAAATAGCAACTTGAACATTAAAGGTAAAAATTATACTAATAACATATATTTTAAAAATACATCTGGTTTTTATTAATCGCTTCACGTAGATTAAGAAAAATACTATTCATCTAATAATTTTATCTTTGATGCATAAAAACGAAAAAGCATACGTGTCTTGCTGTTTACAGCTGGACACAGATTATTATATTGAAGTAATCTCTATTTTTGTGTGATACTTTACGAAAGTATAGAGATATCAATATATATTTTAGTTACTTAGATATTTGCATATCTAAGTTGCATATCTAACTTGTTTCTATGCTCAACTAGCCACGCTATCCTTACTGTTAAAATAAAATTTTAATCCTTGAATGTTTTTTTTTGTATATGTGAAGGATAGCAACATTATTCAAGATTGCTTTGAATAGAACGCTTTGTTGCTCCATTAAACCGGTCAATTATCCAATTTACGATTTACTTTGAATAAATGATCAAAATTATTCCAGTGCAGTTACATCATCTACTGTACCGATCGGTTGAAGAGAGTTTTATACGATCAATGATACTTCATTCGTAACCAAATGATTTGACATAATTATGCGTTCGTTCGTTGTATGTTCTTTATTCATACAGTTTGCAATGAAATGGCGTTAAATGGTAATACTGCGGTTGTTACGTAGCAGTGGCCATTGTTCTCGCAGAAAACAAGTTCCTGACATTGAAAACGATTCACGTGTCGACGGCATGTAGCTTGAGACTCATTTTTCGCACATGACATTAAATATGATCATTGTGATATGTGATTTTAATTTTAATGATACGATATTTTGGCATTAAATTATTACGATAACTATTGTTTATAATGTCACCACAAAATAATACGCGAAGATGCAATTTATATAATATATAATAATAATATTAATTCGTAACTTGCATATTTCGACAGCAGTAAATGAACAACTAATTTCTACGTTATTTTTACGTCGATCGGCTTTATTCTACTTACTTTGTTCCGCTAACTTATAAGACGTGATGGTTTTTCGTGTATTGGAGTGATAATAGTCACTTTTAAGTTTTTACTTTAATTTGAGTAAACGCGAATAATCAGACAGAGAATTTTTTATTCAAAATTTTAAAGCGTGGACTCGTGTTTAATTCTCTTTTTAAAAAATATAAATCATTTTGTAAGCTTCCGATTTGTAAAATATGCAGTAAATTAAGACATTTAAAAATTGTAAAAATATAAAAATAATTCCTGAAATAATAGTACATTTCTCAGCTGTAAAAACCGTTGTATTTAATAATTGAGAAATGTATCATTATTTCAGAAATGAATTAAGTGTTTCATACTTCTCTTAGATGTCTCAGTTTATCGCATATTTTAGACGTTTTAGGATTACGAAATTGTTTTTAAAAGAAGACTAAAAATAAAGCTGTACATCATAGCAGTTCATTTATTGCATGTCATGTCTTGTCTCTGACGTCATACAACCAATATGGTGCCTTAAGTTTTAAAAACAGAAAAAAAAATTAAGAAGTTGTATACTATATAACGCATGTATAATTTTTTAACTCTTTTGTTCTGTAAATTTGAGTATATTCCAGCCGTTTATTCGTATACAAATACTTTAAATAAGTAAAAGAATTTTCAATTCTATATAAATCCAATTCAAAAAACTTTCTAACCTATAATGTTAATAATTTCCGTTACTAATTATTTTAAATAATTCTTCAAAATAATTCTCAGATAAATAATATTGAAATACATCAAAACACAGTTTGTAACTCGAACATCTGAAAAATAATTATCTCGGCTGCGCTCTCATCGCATTCTAAATTCCTTTAATCTATAATGTTTGAAGTGCTCAAATATGCAAGATATACTGTTTAACACCAAAATATTTCTCAGGCAACAATAGTTCTTTATTCCTGCACTGTCTGAATTGGTGCACACAGTGCTTCAATAAGTTGAAATAAAATAAATGTATATTTGTTGTACTTCAACTTATTGCCGTGTATGTACATCAATTCAGGTAATGCAGAAATAAAGAACAAACCAAATGATTGAGAAACAAAGGACTATAGCAACAACAAGTTAAATGGCACTAAATTTTTCAATTTATATTTTTTATTTTATACTAAAGCCAGTGGCACACGATGCTTGTTTTCCTGCTGGATTACTAGCTGGATCAGATTCTTACCATCGGATTGGCTGTGATACTGATATTATCAACACTGTTGTTGTCAATACGGTGGCAAGATTCTAATCCAGCTAGCAATCCAACAGGAAAACAAGCATCGTGTGCCGCTGGTTTAAGTTAAAATATTTGACACTACTGTATCTCACGTCGGAGTCACACTTCGTGCAGCTCATGATGACTGCAGGATATACGCATAGTAAAGTAATGTTTATTGGTAGAAGCCCAGGAGGTTTCACCGCTTTCAACAGTATGTCTGCTGTATATAAGAATGGTTTGCATTTCACCAGAGAAACTCTTGCAGAGAACGAGTCGACGAAATCGTCTTACGTTCGCTTTCTATCCTTCTTGATGGCTTTGTCCTTGCTCGCGGCACGCCCTTCGTTCATGCGGATGCTTCTTTTTTCCGAGACGGATTGTCGCCGTCTCGAAGCAACATGATCTTTGTGCCATGTGGTCTACAGACGAAAGTACATCTTCTCGCCTCATATATGTAATATATATAATAACCGGCTCTTTCTTTTCTAGTCATTATCCTTCTTTTC